GGGGGGGGTCCCGCCAGCACCCTCGTGGGGGCGGCCTTCGCCCACCCTCTGGGGCGTGGGCGACCACCCCTCTGCCCCGTCGCCGCCGGGGTGTCCAGCCCGCCAGAAACCCCGCAGGCCCCATCCAGCCCCCCGGGCCAGGTGCCCACCTGTGGGGGGATGCGATGGTCCCCTCCGCGTCGCGGCCGTGCAGCCACCGAGGTGCGAAGCCCTGCGGCAGGTCGGTCCGCGTTGGCCACGCGCGTTGTCGCTGCCCGATGGCTCCACCCCTCTGCCCCGTCGCCGCCGGGGTGTCCAGCCCGCCAGAAACCCCGCAGGCCCCATCCAGCCCCCCGGGCCAGGTGCCCACCTGTGGGGGGATGCGATGGTCCCCTCCGCGTCGCGGCCGTGCAGCCACCGAGGTGCGAAGCCCTGCGGCAGGTCGGTCCGCGTTGGCCACGCGCGTTGTCGCTGCCCGATGGCTCCCCGGGGCTGCTGGCCGCTCGGCGCCTGGGTTCTGAGCTGCGTGGAGCAGTGAGGCTCAAGGCCCGAGGAAGGATGGCTGGGAAGAGGGGTAGACTCCCGAAAGGAAGGCTCCTCATTTGTTTTGAGAGAGACGTTCATCTTGTGCTCGCGGCTTTGTTTTCAGGCATCAGGAGGTGCTAGGAATCATGGGCAGCCGGCACAGGTGACCATTCATGCCCGACAGCCCTGAAAGTGTGTCCTGCCCCAGTCAAGAAGAGCAGGATCAGCCAGATCAGGAAGCAGCCGCTGGCAGATGGCCGTGGAGATCATCAGCCATGCAGGCTGTGCCACGCCTTCCCGGGAGAGTCTGGAGCACAGCATGATCCTGGACAGCCCTACAGAGCGTGGCCAAAGCAGGGCAGAGCTTGGGAGGGTCCTTGCTGACCTAGCAGCAGTGGCAGAAATCGGTAACCTTGGCCCTGCGCTGAGGGACCACGAGCCCACGGAAGGCCCTGGTGCCAATGCCATGGCCTTGATTTGCGGGGACTGCGGCAAGAGCTTTGCTAGGAAGTCGGACTTCAAAGTACACCAGCGAATCCACACAGGGGAGAGACCCTACACATGCTCCTACTGCAGCAAGGGCTTCTACCAGGCCTCCATGGTTCGGCGGCATGAGCGCACGCACACCGGCGAGAAGCCGTACCGCTGCTCCGTGTGTGACAAGTCGTTTGCCCGCTCCACCTCGCTGCTGATCCACCAGAACACGCACACCGGCGACCGGCCTTACGAGTGCCCCTTCTGTGAGAAGACCTTCTCCGACCCCTCCACCCTTCTCCAGCACCGCAAGATGCATATGGGCCTCAAGCCCTTCCACTGCGGGATCTGCAACAAGTCCTTTAGCCAGTCATCCAGCTTCACCTTCCACCGGGCCACACACACCAACGATCGCCCTTTCGTCTGTGCCGATTGTGGCAAGGCCTTCATCCGCTCCACAGCCTTGCTTAAGCACCGCCAGACCCACGTCCAGAAGTCTTTTCGCTGCGGGGAATGCAGCAAGGTCTTCCCGAAGCTCTCAGGCCTCCGCTCCCACCAGCGTATGCATGCCCAAGGCCGACGGATAGAGATGGAGCTGAGGGAGAACAAGCGGAGGTGCTGGGAGGACAGGCGAGATGTTGTAAAGCTGGGGTTCCCTGCCCCAGATCCTCTGCCTCAAGACTGTCCCCTCCTGAACTTGGCTCCGCAGGAAGAATCCAGCTGACCCTAGGACTGTGTTCAACTCTGCACCATTATTCATCGGCACCATTGGATATCAGAGGTATATTGAGGCTGTGGGTGCAGATCTACGCTCCCTTCCATATACATTGGCCAGTCTCCCACATTCTAATAGGTCTCCTTTAGTACAGACCAGAGCCCTTCTCTGTATCACAACTATGTCACATCACTTCCTGTTATACCTTTTGCCTGTCTCACATTTCAGATCTGAATCTCTCTCCATCCTCTTGCTACTGCCTTGCTTTCTTGGCCTATGATCTTATGTACTCTGATAAGCTAGATGGGTCATGCAGAAGCAGGTCTTCAGTGACAACCTCCAGAGAAAGCACAAGTGATTGAGAGGGAGGATTTGGGGACCCTGTCTGGCATTCTTCTAGGTCACTATTGAACCAGTGCCCTAGCTTGGTGACAGGGGCATTGTGCTGTTGTCAAGCAAATTGATTAATTGAGGTCCTAACTACATGTGGTCATCCAAAGGCACTTTCTGCAAAACAAGGGTGCAGATGTTATTTCCAATATCTATGCCAAATTTCAATTTAGTGGCCCATCTAAAACACTACTCTCAGTGTCATGTACTTTCAGATAAATCTCATGTTCTTAAATTCATATTCTAAACTGCTATATAGTGCCACTTAGTGCACCCTATTAGAGGTGGCTACATTACACTGATGGGCAAAATGATCCTTGCATGGCATTTGTAAAACATTTTGGAATCTGCCTGGATTGAAACCACAACGTAAACATGAGATGATTATTCCTGTACCTCTTATCCTTCAGAGGTACAGGTTCAAATTCTGTTCTCTTCTATAGAGACTTGCTGTTACCACTGCACGCAGTTTGTATTAGAGCTATTCTTGAATAGGGTGAATGCTAAAAAATATTTTTGTTGACTGCCAACATTGATTTTATCCATATGCCTTTAAATGTTACCTTTTAACTGTTACTGTAGTAAGTGATTTAATACGATGAATACTTGCTAGAACAGCATATTCTATTGTTGCAAAATATTCACGTAAACTAAATTTCAGATTTATATTGACACTGGAAACCTGATTTTAAGAATTATGTTCATCCAGGTAGGAAACAGAAACATACCACGGGCACATCACATTGTCTCTCCAATCCAAAGAACTTCAGACCAAGGATTATTGGCAGAAATTACTTGGTCAGTGATTCTGAATAAGTTCAGGAAAAGTCGCAGTCTGTCAGAGAGAGAAAAAGAGCTGACAAAAGTAAATAATACATTGTTGAAAAGCAGGATACACATTTCAACAACACCCATTTTGTCTCTCTGAACTGAAAATTCTGGTAAAAATTTGAAAAAATCCAAAATAAGGAAAAAATTCAGGAAAAAGTCAAAATATTTTCCCTCCATTTTCTTCTCCGTCAGCATTGGAGCAAAAATTGCCAAAAATATAAACATTCAGAAAGTGTAGGCCAGATTTTTACAATGACTTAATATGAATGACTTTGACCAGCTCTGATGCCATCCATCTTGAGTATAAACCTTATTCTGTCTCCATTTTGCCCAGATTAGTGAGGGGAAAAATGGTAAATGAGCAGAAAAGTGACTTAGGGCTTGATTAGATACAAATTCAAGTGCTAATGGTGATTGGAGGAACCTAAATAAGCAGCACTAGTGCCTAGAAAGAGGAAGGGCATGAGGAAGGGAAAAGAGAATGAGAAGGTTGGTTGGAAGAGTCCAGAGTCTTTGATTGATACTGATGCTGCAGAACTGAAAATACATGCTCTGGGAATCCTCTGATAAATAGGTGATTTTTTTCCATACATAAAGCATATAAATTCACCATAAACTGAGGGTTACGGTAGCCAGAATTGCAGTTTGAACATGGAAATGCTTTAGAACAAGGCAAAACTTCACAGTGCAGGGAGTTGGGGGTGGTGCATTTCAATTTACTGTGATTAGTTTCCACTGTATTATCAAAACCTACCTCTCTTCAATGTAATGTGATGAACAAGGGGACAGGGCTAGTTTGTGGGGAAGCAGCGTAATTTTCAGGGATTTCAACTTTAACATAGCACTAGCTATTTCCTTTTCAGTTCTGAAGAAATTAAGCAGCAGTTTCTAGACCTTTTGTTACCAGCCGAAGAAGCCCTGAGCTCTCCCTGTACCTGCTGAAAAACAGCTTCCTGTTCAATTACATTCAAAGCAATTGGAAAAAGATGGTGTTGGATTTTCAACACAGCTAGAGCTTCCTCCTGTACCATTTTGACAAGGCCAGCAAAGAGGCCACTTTTCTACTGTTTGGCACTCAGCTCACTGTATCTGAAACCACTCAGAGCCATATCCATGTTTCAACCCCATCAGCACCAGAAAAACAGGGTCTCTAGCCTGATGCTAGGAGCCTCCAGGGCAGCTATGATGAGTCTCTGCTCTCACTTAGACCACTACAGTTGATTCTAGATGAGTCCTCTGGATAAACATGAAGATCAGTTTTTGCCATTTCACTGAAAATCAGTTGTTCATGTGAACCCACTCCATTTTTGTTCCTTTTTAACCAGAAGAAATCTACAATCCTGAGAAATATCCAACCTGGGAATCTGGGATTGGAATTTACTATGAGGGAGAGTGACCTGTTTTCATTAGATTTCTACTCCGTTCAGCAAAGACCAACTCAGAATACACCTCCCAGTTTCTGGGAGGTGTATTGGGGGAGTATTACCTACTGATTGTTTGTCCTGCATGTTAAAGCTGCAGTTTGAAACTCTGAGTAATAGTAAGGGATAGTTTCAAGCTGGTCTACTGAAGCTTCATTTTTTATATATATATATATATATATA